CCCCAAAAAAAAAAAAAGACTCCCGTGTTTTCCTTAAAATTCACAAGGAGGTTAAATTTTTTTTTTCCCGTAGATTTTGCATGGTCGAAATATTTGTCTGGTAGGTTTTGTATGGAAAAGTCAACATTCCGAATCTTGTTCAAAGGTGTTTTTCTTCGTGTTTGGGGCATCAATGGTGCATCTGGTTCACAGAAGCTTCAGAGCATATTGATCATTTGTTTTGGTCTTGCTAGTTTGTGCAGTTGACTTGAGGTTGTTTTTTGGACTTCTTTGGGGTCTCTTGTGCGTAACAGAAATTGTAGATCCATGATGGAGGACACTGTCCCTCCTTAGGAAGAGTTCTTTGGCAGACTTTTTTTTTTTTGTGGTGTTATGGTGTGTGTACTTGGCATGAGAGAAATAATAGTATTTTTAGAGAACAGGCATTTGTTGTGGGTGGGCTCCTCTTGTATGGAATATTCTTTCACATTTCTCAAATAAAAGCTTGGTTTCTTTTTCTTAGAAAAAAAAAAAAATCAGATGCTACATGTTTAGGTTTCAAAATTGGGTCATGATTTTAAAAAATGTTCTTGAAAGTAGATTAGAAAATAAATGACAATGTCGTAAATAAGCACAATTTTTAAGAACGTAAACTAGAATAACGAACGTTAAAAGGAACTCCTAAATACTTCCTTTGAACTGTTTGGCAGAATAAGTAGAAAAAATTTACTAATTTCTGCTTGCATGTTGTCAGGTTGCTGACTCACTTGAGAAAGGCACTGAGCATGAAGATGAGTACATGATCAGTGAGAAAGAGCTGCTCGTGAATAGGTAACTATTGTCCCATTCTTCGTACTTATGCTTTTTTTTGGCATTCACTCAATAACCCAATCATTTACCGTAGATTTATTTCAATTCCAAAAGACATGGGAGCGTTTAACTGCGGGGCTTTTGTAGCTGGCATAGTAAAAGTAAGTTCTGCAAGCTCTCCATGATATGGGTGGTAATCTAGTTTATGAAAGTTCTGAATTTGTTCCTATTTGCTATAAGGGTGTTCTGGACAATGCTGGGTTTCCTGCTGTTGTAACGGCACATTTTGTTCCAGTGGAGGGCCAACAAAGACCACGGACGACTATTTTGATTAAATTTGCAGAAGAGGTGAGTATCCTCCCCCCTCCCCCACCAAAAAACCAAACTTTTCTCTTCTTTTCTGATTAATGCTTATTGGAGTTCCTTTTTTAAACACTCATTTGCAAATTTGTCCATGTCAGATAGCTCAATAGATATATGTTAGATATTAGCTGTACAAGGCTAATATGGGATACCGAATACTCGTTAGGCACATACTAAACCCTTGTTAAAACATAATAAATAGATGTATAATAATTTTTTTATAACATAGTACATGAAACTCGTTTTTTAGCCTATAAATGTGTGAACTCATTGATTTTGAATTTACTTGTAAAAAATGTATAATTTAATGATTTGTTGTGTTCATATCAAAGATTTCAAAATTTGTGATGTGTCTCTCTGTTTGTGTGTTATCATATCTATGTCTTATGCCTGTATCCATGCATCTTAGGAGTTATATATGCATCCGTGCTATATTATTTTGAAGGTTTAATATCAAGTTCCCTTTCCATTTTCTCTCAAATAATTGTGTGCTCTCTTGTCTTTTCCCTTTTCTTTTTTCTTCTCGACCCCCTTTTCAGGTATTAGCAAGAGAAGCTAGATTAGGTTAATATCATCTGAAGTAAGCTTTTACAGCTTTGTGATAATGGAGAATGGGGAATGGTGAATTTCTTTTTAGCCCTTGGAACAAATAAAGATTTCCACCTGCTATATCCCTGTAGTGAAGCTGTAAGGAACTTTCCCTCGTCAACTAATTTCTTTACTTGATGGCAAAATGATGGCACAATTGTGAAACTATAAGATTTAGTAGTATTATTGTAAAGGTGTTTATATGAACTTCAAATGGTTTATTCAGCCTCTTGGTGATATTTGTGAACTCTGAATGTTTGAACAGAACCACATTTTAATCTCTACCAATTCAAGCTTTTGTTGCTAATTTTGTCGGTCGTTGTGTTTATATTAAAGTTATAACGCTTTATGTTCGTTGTGTGGCTGTACATGTGGATTTTCTTAAGAACCAATAAGGGAAATTGTTTGATACCTAAAAGGAAAAGGAAATGAATTATGGCTTAAAGGAACCAATATTCGGATTGTATTCTTGGAAATAATGTCTATTTTAACAAGGTCGTTCAATTTAAACGGCCCCACTTGTCGATAAATGGTACCTTCGTGTTTTAGTATTCAACAATGGTGGGTTGTGAAGAAGTTTGCCTATGAGGAATGTTGTCTAAGAAAACCGTAGACAAACTACCTCAACTGTCATCGTTGAGCACGTATAGATCATTCTAAGAACAAATAATAAGATCTGTTGTATTATCATGTAGTATAATGGACTATGCTTGAAAAAACCGTTAAATTAGTGTAATTATAATAAAGCTTGGAGGAGGAGATAGAAGACTGATAATTATAATAAAGCTTGGAGGAGGAGATAGAAGACTGAAATCGATGGTGGAACAATATTCGGTTGTTGATAAACGAACCTTAAAAAGTTAACCTATCTAAAGGGAGTCCACTCGAACCTTAAAAAGTTAACCTATCTAAAGGGAGTCCACTCGACTTAACGCATTACAATTTTAATATTAAATGGGTAATTCACAATTTGCTTTTCTTGATAGGATGTCATCCATAAATATGCATGAGGTTTCATAACTAATTTTGTAATGTACATTACAAATACATGCATGAATAGGATGTCATTCATAAATATGCATGAGGTTTCATAACTAATTTTCTAAAGTAAATTACCAATACATGCATGAATGTCACATTCATCACAAAATACAGTAAACAACGCACATCACACGATACAATTCTCTCCTTACCTCCAAACGAAATTTCAACGTTACGGAATTCACCTATAAGGGTCCTAGTCCAATCTAAGCAATTCCCACTTAATCTAATACGAATTTTGAACTTAATACAAAACATTAAAATATTTGATCAGAAAAATAACTTTGGTTACTATCAAAGTTATGAACATGTAATTTAACAAAAAAGATGACAAAAGTTTGAATCTCATAAACTCTGAATGTCGTTAAATTAAAAAAAAAAAAATTATAATTGTTGTCGTTTTGACAATTTTTTTCATGTAGAAAAGAAATTGAAAATTTTCTCGAACTATATTATTTATAAGAAACCATATTATTTAAAGTTTTCTTCCTAAAATTGAATAACGATGGTAATATAGGGTTATTATTAGTCTTTTTTTTTTTTTTAATTCAATCAGTTAAAAATAAAATATAAAAATTTGAAAATTGAGAAAAAAAAACTTAGCTGGGCCTTGAGTGATGGGCTTCAGTGAAGAGCCCACAACAATAACCCTATATGCTCCCAGGGTTTCATTCTATCGAAGTCTCTCCTCTTTGCAGAACCCTAGTGTTGTTGCGCTTCGCTTCACTTCACTTCATCCTACTCCTCACCAACAATGGCGGACAAGGCAGTCACCATACGAACCAGAAAGTTCATGACCAACCGGCTTCTCTCCAGGAAGCAATTTGTGAGTTTGCCTCTTCTTTCTTCTCTTTTCTTTTAGTTATCTCAATAGCAACATATTGATACATTGAATCTTTCAATTATTTCTCGGATGAGTTTCGTAAGGAAGAATTTAGTATTCGAACTTCCGAGCTCTGTTACTGTTTCCTTTGTTTTAAAGTAGATTCAATGATCCGTACTCAAATTTTTGCAATTGCGTATTATTTCCGTTTAGTTGATTCCCATTTTTCCTCAGTTTTTTTTTTTTTTTTATGTTGCGCGAGTTAATTATTTAGTTTGATGTTCGTTCTTTTTGTTGACCTTTACGCCATCTATATCTGCTTGCATTCTGTTATAAATTATTATTAGTTGACAAAATTTTAGAAGCTATATGGTTCTTACATTCTTTGAAGCTTTTTCACAATATACATGTTTTGTGAGGCCGCCTCTACTCTGGATTTAATACTCTACAGTTCCTTGATAATTAAACAGAGTAGTGTTAGGCGTCAAATAGAACAGGGTTAGACACGAACACACTGATATTGGAAAAATAATATGTTTCGTGAGCATGACACAATTTTTTTTTCTTTTTGGTATTAGATGAGTTCTATGGGTGTTCTTAACCTCTTGTACTCTAGTGGTTGAGAACATCCTGAGAATTTGAGTTTTACTCTTAAGGCCACAAACACTTTAACAATGGAGCTCATTAGTTCTATTTTAGGCTTTAGTTCTGACTGTTCCCTTTTCTGTTTGATGCAGGTCATTGATGTTCTTCACCCAGGAAGACCAAACGTCTCTAAGGTAAATCTCTTTGTTGCGGCTGTAATTATTTTTCTGCTCTAGTTTAGTTGCATCTTGTGGATTGCTTTCACAATGAATAAGTTTGGCCTGTTTTCCTTTTTCTTTTTGTATGCTTGAAAAAGCTGCTTACATGCTTCACCCAATTTGTCACAGTTTATATTTTGGTTTTTTTTTCTTTGTTTAGCTATATTATGCCAATAATACATTGTCAAGCTTAATCGTTTTTGTGTATGAAGTCTAATTATTGGAGGATTTGTTTGGACTATTCACGTATTAAATTGTCCCCCCATTTGATTAGGCTTTTGTCTTTTTGATATGAAGGCAGAGCTGAAGGAAAAGTTAGCAAGAATATATGATGTGAAGGATGCAAATGCAATTTTTGTTTTTAAGTTCCGGACTCACTTTGGAGGTGGAAAATCTACTGGGTTTGGTTTGATCTATGATTCTGTTGAAAACGCTAAAAAATACGAACCCAAGTACAGGCTCATCAGGGTATTTTCTCTTCCTTGTCAACATTTCCATCCTTTGATTTGGTTACTATCTTTTCCCTTTTGTTTCCTTGGAGGCTCTGCCCGCACATATATTGTGTTTGATGCAAAGTTACTGTTTGAGATTCTAACTAGTGCTTTTGTTAAAGGATTCAATACTAGTTTAAAAATACGGACACTGCTTTGAGCATTGTGTGTCGAAGAGTAGTGGTATACATGTTGAGTTCCGATTTGGAGACACGGGACAAATGCAGAGGGGTAGGGGTAGGGGGCACATTAGGATACAATTGGGTTACATGGAGGTGCATAGCCAAATGAAGTTAAAAGATGGTGAAAAAATGATAATTCTTTTACGAGGAGACGAATAATGCATTAATTGATTACAGAAGATGGGGGGCAGTTCGATTTCACTTGGATCAATCAAAAGAAGTGTGGGGCATGTTAGGTAGAAATTTGGTCGGGGAAGGGACAAATTGGATTGATTAGATAGATCTGAAAGAAGTGTAGGCAGTTGAGGGAATAATGTCTGAGATTCTGGTTTCTTTGTTTGAAAGATTTGCTTTGAGGCGTACTCTACTTTAATTTGCTGTTGCAAGATGCGTACATGTTTTATAAGTGAGCCATTTTGGCGAATTGTATGATAAAAGGTCATGGGATTCAGTATCTTTCAATATAGCTTTTTCCTGTCTTGATGCAAAGAATTGGCTTATTATCTGAAATCAAGTGTTGTTATCTTGTTACAGAATGGACTTGACACTAAAGTAGAGAAATCAAGGAAGCAAATGAAGGAGAGGAAGAACAGAGCCAAGAAGATTCGTGGAGTAAAGAAAGTGAGTAAATCCTTCGCTTTGTTCTAAACATGAAAGAAAATATCACAACATTTACTAATAATGGCTGCAATTTCTTGGACCAGACAAAGGCCTCAGACGCTGCCAAGGCCGGAAAGAAGAAATGAAGAGTCTACTGCTGGGATTTTGTGCCTCTGCCCTTTTCTCTCTTATCATTTCTTCATTCCATCTCTCACTTAGCTCTAGTTCTAAAGTGGTGTGTAGCCATTTTTTGAAATGAAATCGACCTCTGGAGAATTGTTGACACCCAATGTTTTAGCAGCCTTTTTTGAAATGAAGTCTGTCAATGTCTGAAGAATTATTATTGACACCAATGTATTTTGTCGTTCAGGGTTAAAACTGAAAGGTATTTTGATTGCAAAACAATTTTAATGGTGTGAACCCAACTTGATAGTTGCATTTTTTTTTGTATTATTTATTAATTTATCAACTATGTTTCATGTTTCATGTTCTGTATTTTGTATAATTATTATTTAACAATTTTGAATAATTTATAATATATTTTATTGTTCATATTTAGTTAATCAATAAAATAAAATGAGTTAAAAATTGAGATATTATATCTGCTAAAGTTTTGTTTTTTAAATATAAATTTTATTTTCTAAATTTAAAATAAAAATTTAGTTATACCATTCTGAAGTTTATTAAATAGAATCGAAAAATATTGGTGGATTTTCAGATATATCTAATATCACGATTTAAATTGAATTTATTTTTCTATTTATGTTAATATATTAAACATTAATTTGATTATTTAAAAAAATCAACTAAATTAGTATTTTCAGTGAACTGGCCGAGACAAAATTAATTAATTAAATTGATCACTAATAAATTTAGAGTTGCCTTGTTTAAGACAAGATAAAGTTTGTTCATTGATATAATTATTATAAGCAGATGATATAAAATTAAATTATGTTACCAACTCTCTATTTTGGTTAAGTCTTCAAAATGTTTCACTTATTAAATTCTTACACAAAAAACGTTCTCCCTATGCAAATAAAAGAAACGTTCCGATAGAAATGAGTTCATAACTTATTTTCAATTAATCATTATATGAAATATTAATTATCTCAAAGAGATTAAACTTTTTATAATCTAGTCTAAAAGAAGAACGTCCAAATCTTTCCCCATGCACAAATTCGACCCTAAATAACTCAAAACTAAGAAATTTCAAAAAAAAAAAAAAAAAACTAATAATAATAATGACAACAACTCATACAAATATATATTCATTGCCAAATAATATTTTGTATTTCATTAGACGTTATGAGAGTATCTTCATTCTTCAAACCATAAATGTCTATAAACTAAAAATTATAATATTTTTT